TAATTTCTATGGCTTGCCATGTGTACATATCAATGTCTGAATTACCCTAGTAAGTTAAAAAGTTCCTATGCTATAGGGGCATCTATCTAATCTTCCTGTGGTTATCCATGTTAGGAATCAACATATAGGCAAATTCTTCACATTTTTTTGGAGAAAAAGACCAATGGAAAACAGTGCATCTTGCCGGAAGCAACGGAACATATGCCCTAGATATCTCACAAAAAGAATAGAGTACAAACTAGACGCGGTTCTCTCAAGGCATGCGTTACATGTCGGATTTTAGACTGGATAGTATGCATCCATAAAGTAGTATTTGACTTTCAGCAGTAATTTTCCCGAGCACTAATTTACTTACTTCCTCTTGTTTGTAAGTTTCAAGTTTACAGATGTTAGTGCTGTGATGTTAGAGTACTATAGATCTATAGATCAGTTCTCGAGAACTGAAGTAAGCCCCTTGTTATTCCTATTATACGTAGACTTACTACCGAAAATTCTTAAACCATCATTATCATTTACTGACGATATCATCAAGTCAGGAAATTCCTTGGAAAGCATCACTAAGTGGAATACCTCAGGGAACTGTACTTAGCCCCCTGCTATTCCTATTATACGTAACTGAACTGCCGAAAATTCTTACTTCATCTTCCCTATTATTTGTGGAAGATATTAAGATATGTAAAACCGTAAATAATAACGATGACAGGTTGGTACTACAAAACCAACTAGATAAATTAGCTGAATGGGAAAACCTCTGGAGTCTGGAAATTAATTCCAAGAAAATCGCGGCAATACACCTACGTCAGAGTTCTTACATGCCGTACTCCCTGGGGGACACAGAACTGCTAGATTTTAAGGGACAAAAAGACTTAGGAATTATTGTAAACCATAACTTAAAAACAACGGCAAATTGTAAAGGAGCCGCAGCTAAGGCTTTTCGAATTCTATGGGCACTTCGAAGGGCTTTCAAACGATTGGACGAGGGTATGTTCCAAGTATTCTGCAACATAAATCAGGCCCCATCTAAAATACTGCATACAAGCGGTTAGTCCATGCTTCAAAAAGGAAGTACATATCCTGGAAAAAATACAGAGGGTAGGAACCAAATTAGTATCTCATACCTTTCTAATTATAAGAGGATGGAGCATTTAAATCTTTTCTCATCATCATACTGAAGGAGGAGAGGTGGCTTAATTCTGACACCGTATATTAAAGGGTGACATGGGGATTAACCTTCCAAATCTTTTCTCTCCATCTAGGATACATTTACGAGGTCACCACGAGAAGATGCTCAAATCGAGGTCAAATAAAATACGTGTGGACTTAAGATTCTCTCACAGAGTGGTAAATGACTGGAACTCCCTAAGGAGGTAATTACCTGATTCAGTAGTAACAACTCCATCAGTGAACGCTTTCAAAGAGAAATTAGACCTCTGCAGAGATATATATCGCAAGGATTAACATAGGCAACAAGAACCTTCTCTCCTTATGATCTGAATCTGAACACATGGGAAAAGTTTTGTCACATAATCAAAATGTTAGACAGCTACTGGAAAGACATCATAGTATCTCTCATCAGCAGAGAAAGATCTAGATGCCTCCCTTCAAACTACAGGCCTCTCAATCCCACCAGAATCCTGATCGACATACTGAAAACGATAATCAAGACAGCTACCATGGCATATCTAGACATTGACAGCTTGTCATCTAAGACACGACATGGCTTTCCGAGAAACCCCTCATGCCTGGAAAACCTTGTGGCAAAAGATCTGGGTCAGTTCAGTGGATAACAGAAAACTCGTGGGCTTCGTTCTCGTAGACTTCAGCAAGGCTTTCGACAAGCTCCTTCACACAAGACTAGTCGTGAAGTTGGTAAGTGTTGGAATCAAAGGTGACTTACTAAGCTGAATTAGGGAATTCCTCATAGGTAAGACAGAGTCATAGTCAAATTAAAAATCGCCGTCTGGAGAGTAGTGCGTAGTGGAGTGCCATAAGGCATTATCCTCCGGCCCTTCTTCTACATCTTGTATGACATGTTCATGCTGCAAATAGATTGTAAGATTGGTCGTAAGAATGGATGCTTCCAGTCAACGTCCCGATATGCGTAACTATGCGTATTGAACTAAAAAGCGTCATCTCATATGAACTGGAGGAATAAGCACTCCCATCAGTTTAAATTCATATGGACCTAGATATTTTGGTAAGTCATGACATAAAATCTACAGCACAGTTGCGCGGTGACAGCAGGAATTCTAACAGGCTGTGCGCATAGCATTTACTAGTCACCAGAAATATGTCCACTTCTTTATGTACATCTCTGGTGAGGTCAGGAGTAGGAAACTGTATCTAAGCAGCCAGTCCCTACCTTAAAGAGGACTCACATATTTTAGAAAGGGTCTAAAGGGAGGCAACACGTGACTAATTTCTCATACAAGGAAGGACCAAACAGTTCAAATCTCTCAACAGTCAGAGTAGAAATCGCAGTACAATGTTTAAAAATTTTAAACAGCCACTGCGAACCTGGTCTCTTTTGTCTTTTCCTTCTCGTCAGGTCTTAATACCTCAGAGGACATGTTAATGGAGTTCAGAAGCCAAGGGAGAACTATGTTGCTGTGGAGTACTGGTTCCCACATCGAGCCATAAACTCTTGGAACCGACTTCTAGAAGTGGTGTCAGCACCCTCAATTAACTCATTCAAGTAGGGTCTAAACAAGCACAAAAACTAGAAAAAGACTAACACAGGCTTCTACCAATCAATAAATCTGGATTCATCCACTTTTTACTATTTTTGTGTGGTTGGGTGAGTAAAAGCATGGGAAACACTCCGTTAAAAATTGGGTTGAGTGGGGTATTTCTAGAAACATGGGTGATTTTCCTTGTGAAAGCGTGAGGATAGAGGGTAATTAATTTCGTGAGAAAGTGGGGAAAGTTTTCCCCATTTAGGTGGGTTACGACGTGGTGAAAGTGGATATTTCATACTGTATTTTGCCCACGTCTCGACCGGTCAACATTACCCATGTTTTCGCCATTTCATCCACATGCATTCCCCAACTGGATAGGATCTGGAAAGCTGTAACTAATAATGGTGATGTCATTCTAACAAGGCGATCGAGATAAACTAACCGAATAATTTAACCTCGGGAGTGCGGGAATTAGTCGCAGGAAAAGAGGGGTAATTGACCTAGGTCAGAAATCTTACATTATGTACTCCTTGGGGGACAGAACTGCCTAGTGTTTAGGGACAAAAGGAATTATTGTCCCTCCATGATTTGAAAATTGCTGCATATTGTAATGCAGTCAAAGCCTCATCAGATACTATGGGCACTTCTAAGGGCTTTCAGACACTTATATAAGTGTATGTTTTAGGTACTGTACGCAACATATATTCGGCCTCATCTCAAGTTTTTTTGAATTCTTTTCTACCTTTCTGTGCCATATGGAGTGCTGCACTTTCGTACAAAGCCCTACGTTGAAAACTCAGTCAGTTCTATAAACTTTTGTTGTATTTTTATCAAAATGTAATGAAAGTTAGTGGGAGATTTTTGTACTCCACTAGTTATCGCGTGTTCTTTTTTTGAACCTGTATATTCATGATATTGTTCTAATTTTGTATATAAGTATTATGTGTGTATAAATATTGCTGTATAACACTGTGAGACTCTATCAAAATAAAATTTACCCATAATGGAACTAATTTTGTATAGTTCATTTTTGGAGTTCAATATTTTTATGACTAGTTGTTAGTGAAGGTTCTTCAACTACCAGGCTTCTTGGTTACGTCAAACTTAGCATCACTGTCTTACTTCATTATGGCGTTGTGGTTCAGCAGTCTAAGCATAGGATTTCAAACGAGTCGACACAGGGCTAGCAGGTAATATCACAGCCTTCATGATAAGTGTAGCTCATTGATACGCGCGTCTATTTCTTCTTCATTAACTATCTAGTTGTTGTTTTTTAAATGACTGAGCGAGTTTCTAAATAGAACAGAAGTGCAGGAGACCAGGTCGCTACACTCTATGTAGCACACAAAGGCAGGGCAAAAAGGAAAGGAAGAAATTCAAACGCATTTTAATGAGCAAGAATGTACAGGAGGAAGAATAGTTACGTGGGAAAACATGGAGATTCAATGGTTACAGGGGATTACAAAGAGTAAATGCATCTAAGCTGTATCACCAGTAATCTCCAGTTGCTAGTTCTTAGCATCCCAAAGACCTAGACTAGACAGTCTACACTTACCTTCGTGGCTGGCTGGAACCAACAGTCAAAGATTTTATGAACTGAACGCTTTCCCAACCTAATCTTATGTAAGCTAATATTACTCGTTAAGGAAGGCAGTGGCTGTCTCAGTTGATGTAGCTTCATAAAGCTGCGGGACCCGATGGAATGACTGCAGAGGTGCTTAAGGATGACGGAGACAGTTTAATGTCTGTGTTAACTAAGGTATTAGACAGCGTCTGGCAGTCAGAGGAAGTCCCATCCGTTTTTGTGTAAGTCATTGATTATCCCGATATACTTTCTTCTCTTGCTTTGTGAGCTGCACATCGGTGTAATGTTGAAACCAGTCCGTCTGTCATCGATTCACTTTCTTTCCTTACTTAGCACTGCACATCTAACGTCAATATTGTTCAGCATATTATACCACTTTCGATACGAGGTAGAACGCGTCCTAATATCTTCCACTGGCTATCTCTCATAGCCACAAAAGAGGATAGAGAGAACCGATAACTCTTAGATAAACGTACCGTTTTGTCTTCTAGCTGAATAGCCTTAAAAATCCGTCAGCCTTGCATAGGTGTATACGTATTACATTCCCAGTCATCATGAAATTAGGTAAATGTATGTAAATTTTATTTGCATTGTATTTAATTCCATTTTCTTCAGATTTTACTGCGTAGTTCTGTGATGTACAGTTTTCCATTTCTAAATAATCGTTCAGATATCTTCACATTTTGTATTTTAGATATTATTAAACTAAAACAAAATGGTTGTATAATTAGATACCCATGAATCCTTCTGTTTCTGGCCACTATCCTCTACTTCGTCATGATCCTGTTACTGCTCGGGCTATTTCACGTCTAAGCCATGGAGTTGCTCGGTTAACAGCCAGTTTAAATCCTGAAGGACAGCATCGTCATTTTCGTACTCGAAGAGCAAAGTTAGGAAATAGAAGTGTTTCAGAATCTTTGTCAAGTGATGACAGGTAAGTTGTGAATCTTTCTCTGTTGCAAAAATTCCACTTATGTCATTATTGCATCAATTCATAATTGTAGTGCCTCAAAAGAAAGTAAATAAAACAGTTGTATCATGTACCAAGTAAAGCCCATAATTGTTATTTGGGGTCTGCTGATAATTCCCTAGTCGCCTAAGCTGAAGCAGGGTGGAGTGGTACTCTAACTCGGGGCACAATGCGCCACATCTCTTATTGGCTCAAATTACAATCAATGGGTTCTGGGTTCGGAATTAACTCACTCACTCCTGCCTGGGTAACTAAGTGATATCAATCCCGATAAAGTCAACTAAATTCCAGTTACTTGAATATCTCCATAGTATATTCGGAACAAAAATAATTAAATCAAACAACTCTTCTCCAGACTCAACATTTATACATCCATTGATTCTAGCATACAATAGCAGCCAGTAAAGGCAAATTAGAATTATATCAGAAAGTGTATAGCGTGTGGTACAAGTACAGGATGAAATAATAGTCTACGGCACAGAGGTTAGGACACTCGCCGACCATGCACATGGTCCGGGGTTCGATCCCCGACCGGCGCACTCCTTTACCTCACTAAACCAGAAATAAAGCTGGTAAAGAGGAAAGGTTGAGCATGAGGCTAGCAACTCCACCCTGTAAAAATGAAACACCATTGCTACAGAGACTTCAAGCCACTAGCTTTAAGCCCTATGTTCCACTGGGAACGTGAAGGAAAAAATTTTTTGATTATCACTTAGAATACGTGTATGGTCAATAAAAATATGAGATAAAATGAAATGAAATTCATTGATGTTTGTACTAGTGAAGCTCAGCGTCAAGGACATATTCAGTTTTGTAGAAACTGCAAAAGGCCCGAATGTAAACAGAAAGGAAGTGATTTCACTGGTTGTGGCATTATTTACCAACGTCCTAATGCTCGAAACAGTTAATTGCATATGTGACCACCTGATAGAATGAAAGATATATAGGAATCTCACTTGAAAAGGTCAAAGAATTACTGTTCAAATGCACAATGAATGTTCAGTTTATGTTCAACAGTGATTTTTATAGACAAGCTGATGGAGTTGTAATGGATTCACCTCTGGGCCCCCTATGCTGGTGAATATTTTCTTGGCAAAACTTGAAAATGGTCTCCTGTAAGACACGATTAAGAAGCTTGACTATTATTATCAGTACGTGGGGAACACTTTCATCATTTGGGATAGAAACCTTAACAAACAAATGCTTTTGAATGTTGTCACTAATGGTCACCCAGTTATACATTTCGCCTGTGAGAAAGAATAACACGACAGTGCACCCTTCCTAGACGTCCTCCTCACCAAAAATATAGATGGATAGCAGGAAAGAAACCTACTTAAAAAGAAAACTTGAACAGGTCAGTAATTCCATTTTCACAGCTTCACACCACTCCCATACAAGAGCTTAGTTAAGGGCCTCAGTTATAGAATAAAACGTATATGTTCAGATGAATGCATTAAGGAAGAAAGGTGTAAATTGAAATTTACACTTCAAGAAGATGGATATCCAGAAAATGTCCATACCTAGAGACCTGTTAATGATGGATACCGTAGATAAGAAACCTTCGTATCTCAGGTTGAGCTACAGAGGGGAGATTCCAGCTGACATTCTAAAATATCATCTTAGTAGAGCAGGAGAGAGAACATTTTTCGCAGTTTCTCAACTAAATCAATACTCACAAAACAAATCAAGGATAAAAGACCAAAAATGACCTCATCAATATGCATCTATGAATATAACTGCTCATTTGGAGCTAGTTACAGTGGCCGTACTCAGAGGGCTTTATCCGTGTGCTCACATGAACATGTAAGTATGACAGAGTAAAGGGAAAGCCAAATACGTAAGTAGTGTGGTCTTAACCCATTTGGTAGATACTGGAAACTCAATGAAACAAAAGCAGGCATTCTCGGTTATCTACCGTGTTCCTGGTAATATATCTAGAGGAGATCGGTTACGTCTTCAGGCATTTACTGAAGCGGTAGCAATTAATAACAGTAAACCTGACGTCTGTATACAAAGGAAGTATGTACAACTGCTTTGCTTACCTTGATCAAAAATAAGTTCACTAAATGCTCCATAAACATTGGCACCATAAATTCCTATCCCATTTTTTCTTCTTTTGTCTTCTTTTTACCTTTGTTCTATCGACAAGCGTTTATTTCGAGCCTTTTGAGACTTTATCACCTTCCTTATTATGTCTATTACCCTAGGTTTAGCTAATGCTTTTCAGACTTGTCCGTATATTTACACAATCCTGTCTCAGAAGGGACATGAGTTCCTTCAAGGTTGCAGATACGCCTTGCTGACGAGTGCCAACTAACACGAAACCAAGGTGCAGCTAAGGCCTCCTGCCGATCGCCTCCAACCATTTAATATCATCAAATCAATGTGCACAGTGATGGCGAGCTACCTAGTGGCATACTGGTCACATTGCAAACCTGACTGATAGAATTCAGTCTGCGCCAAAGGAAGAACTAGACACGTCACACTAGTTACTAGTGTCCAATTAGAATACCCACTACAGTCCTACAGGAGGTCAATCGTGAGCCCGAATAGCTCAGTGGTAACGCTTCTGACTGCAGCACTGGGTGACGCGGATTCGAGTCTCAGAAGGGACTTGAGTTCCTTCAAGGTTGCACACACGCCTTTCTGACGAGTGCCAACTAGGACGAAGCTTAGGTCAAGCAGGGGTTCCTGCGGATCGCCTCCAACCATCTAACACCCGTCTATTCCAGTCGATTAAATTCATTATTACTTGGTAATCGTTCACTAACAGTACTTCCACGGTTAAACAATATCATCGTTATTATTTTATTATTATTATTGTATTGAAATCTTAAAAATTCCCTGAGTAATTCTGCTGAAGAAGGTGTAGCTTGCACAGGTAAACGTTCAATCTGAATCAATGCTGAAATTGTTTCAGGAAACCCTCAATATCTAAGATCTTCATATTAATGATAGCGTAATCTGATCTGAAGTGTGAAAGGAGCCTAACCAGCAGGTTATATTCCAAACATGAATGACCTTTACTGTAGATGACAGAATTATGTGTGCAAACTTTATATCTTTGAAAGTGTCATGTCCTTAAAATCTAAATTTACACTTACTTCTCTTGAAAGTTAATGTGTAGTTTTCATTTTTTGTTTTTGTTACAAGTTTTCTCATGAATATTTCCCCTGTTATATTGTTGTCTCTCTTCAGTCAATATGTTGCAACAGGATCAAAGCGGAAATGGCAACCAGATAAAATTGAATTGGATACTATCATGGAACTTGAACAGTCTACAACACATTCATCAAAACAGTTATCACCGGCAACACCTTCAAGAAGCACAACAACAACCGCAACAACAACAACTACATCTCCATTAATTCCATCCTCTATCCACTTGAAACATTCCAGTATAGACTCAACTTTACGTCATGTCTCCATTTCCATAGATGCGCTTAATTTACAAACAAAATTACTCACTCCTTTCTCTTATTCCAATCCAATTCTACAGAAATCATTAAGTTCAGATAATATTGAAAGTACAGGACGTTATTCATCAGGTTCATCTATGCTTTCAGTAACAACTTCATCAGATAATAGTAATAATAATAATAACAATAACAATGATAATGAAACTGATGCTTCATCACAAGATGCAGATGTCGAAGATGAAGATCATAACGAGTTGATTTCTATCTTTCGATCTACTACTACTGGTCGATCAACATTCACATCCAAAGTGGTATCATCAAGACGTAAATTGTCTTTATTTGATAAACACTTTTATGATGTATGGAAACCATTCGATGATAGTGTGTATAGTTGTGGTGGAGATTCATCTGATGGTTTATCGATTAATATTAAAATGCCACGATTAAGTTCAACCTATTTTCATAATAATAACAGTAATAATACACCGGGATTATCTGATTACTCTTCTAGATTATCGCCTATATCAAGTAGTCAGTCGACAAGACGGTATACACGTGGTATGCTTGCCTCCTCGTCATCAGATACTACAAATCATCGTCGAAGAGTGAAGTGTAAATGTAAACTACGGAATAATGAACATCATACTAATGCTGCGGATTGTCATAAAAGTGGAAAGTAAGTCTGATTTTCTTCCCCTATAAACATAAACTTTAATTGGGTAATGATTAAGGCATAGCGATTAAAAGTAAAAGATATAAAAGGGCTAGTCGTCTTTGATCGCAGATATTCTGTTCACTTGTGTCAAATGCTATATATACTATGAGGAGTCAGACGTAGATTGCTGTGTAAAGAAACAAAGTCATTCGATGAGGTAATAAAGCCTTTAGCGACTCAGGGATTGACCTGTTACTAGGGTATAATCTCGTTGTTGGTTGCGTGACTGCAGAGCCCAGGGGACAACTGCTTGAGGCCCGTCACACACGGCCTGTTTTTGTTTGTTCTTTTTCGTTTGGTGTGTCTCAGTAGCATATTTATCACTTCTGCCCTGTGACACGGCAGCAGAAAGCGCGGTCGTTGTTAATCCGGTCCCCGACCGATCCGGCATGATATTTTGTGATTTATTTGAAGTCATTGGATTAGATTGGGTAACTGCTTTTAGTCTAACCGCTATCCAAACAACCTTTCTGGCATGGTAGGACCTGCAGGGACGTGTATACTGCTCAGCAGTTTGCTCCGTCCTTCTCTATGGCGGTGAGACGTGGCCATTGAGAGCGGAAGACATGAAGAGATTGTCTGTTTTTGACCACAGATGTTTACGATCTCTTTCTCGCGATAGGTGGTATAATAAGGTAAGTAATGTTGACGTTAGGCGTAGAGTGTTGGGCAGAGAGGGAAAATCACTCGAAGAGGCTATAAGTTTACATAGATTGGGATGGTTAGGTCACGTGCTGCGTATGCCTAACCATCGTCTCCCCCAACAGACGGGCATTACTAGCTGATATAGGTGCAGGTTGGAAAAGAGTAAGTGGTGGCCAAACAAAAACATGGCATCAATCCATGAAATCCCTGACAGTTAAACTGAGTCAGGTAGGGAGATGCAGACTTCCGGGTTGGGGCCCTCGGGACTCTAAGAATCAATGGCTGGAGACAATAGGTGACATGGCTCAAAATCGTTGTCAATGGCTTACGCAGATGTATTCAGTCTCTTTAACCTTCATATTCCTTTCTACCATTACTCATTCTGTTTCACTCTTATACTTATCTAAATTCTATTGATTCTCTTAGCTCATTTTCCTGTCTACCTTTGTGTGCTATTTGGAACGTGGCAACTCGAACTGCTGCACTTCGGTGCCAAGTTCTATGTTGAATCCAGCAGCAGCAGCAGTATAATCTCGTTGACTTAGAGTATGCAGATGACATAGTCCTGCTATGTAAAGACGCTGACAAAATGCTGAGTCTTCTGAACACCTTGAGCTGCAATCTGCGAATGTTTGGCATGTGATTCGCTCCCTCTACCAACTCTAAGATGATGCTATATAACTGGACTGGAATACAACGACTCCTGCCTTACAGATAAGCAGTGAAGTGGCAGAGGAAATTACAAGTTACAAGGAGTGGATGCATCTGTGCCAGCCAGCCGTTGAGAACGATTGTGATCCATATCACCAATTGTCTCCAGCTATTGGTTGTTCCCATCCCGAGGACCCCAACCAGGAAGTCTACATCACACTGTGCGGTTGGTTGGCTTAAACGAACTGTTGTGGATTCCATTGACTGATGAAGCCATGTTTTGGTTTGACCACCATTAGCTCTTTTCCAACCTGATCCATCCTATGTCAGCTAACATTTCCTGTCGAGGAAGGCGATCGATGACTAGACAGACGCAACACATACCCTAACCATCTCAGTCGATGTAGCTTCACAGCCTCGTCTACTGATTTACCCTCCCTCCTTACCTAGCACTCGACCGATGCCTAACCTCAATATTACTCACCTTATTATACCAATTCACACGGGAGATAGAACGCAGACACCTATGATCAAAGACAGCTAGTCAGCCTTTTCATATCTTCCACTTTCAATGGCCATGTCTCACAGCCATAAGGGAGGACGGAGCGGACTGCTGAGCAGTGCACACACCCTTTGGTCGATATCCGGATAGCCCATCACTCTTTCTACCGTACATCGTCCTTTATTACATTTCCTTTAGGTTTCATTATCCCCTTATTTTTACACGGTCTGGTATCTTGAAGTGATATAATTTTCTGCAAAGTTCTACTTTAAAAATTTAGTTCCAACCCATAACTAAAGAAGTGAAAATTCAGCGTGAATTGATACTGTTTGGCACTCATTAGCTGGATATGCCAGGTTTCCTGTGGAGACTTGAACGCAGCGTCTGTTGTTTCAAACTGCAAAGCGTTATACCATGCGTCTCTGGAAGCCAGCTCCTGCGTAATCGGCATCAATCGTTATTCGGTGAAATTATCAGTTTTGTATTTCCCACTGTTTAATTCTATTTTGACCCGAATCCTCTATCTCTGATGACACTCCGCCCACTTCAACTTGGGTACTTGGTAGTATCATTAGTATTGACACGATAATTATGTGCCTCGTATGCTGGTACATGAAAGATCACTTCCGAGTGAATGAGAATAATTGTAGGTTACTTGGTGTTTGAATCGAATGAATACAGTTCAACATAGCATATCATTTAAGTTTGCGAAGAAGAAAGATAATCGTTTATCCTTCCTGGATACAAAGCTTAGTCGACGGCTGATGGATCAATAAAACGACATATTTATAGAAAACTTTCCTGGACAGGACAGTATCTTACTTTTGCACAGTTTCTTCAGTGTTCGGTACAAAAGATCCTTAGTGAATGAGGTGCCTCTCTTCAGTACAGTTCGACGAATATGCACTGAAGACACACTTGATGATAAAGAAATGAAGCTGACACAAACTCTGGTTAATAATAATTATCCAGAGAAGTTCATTAGGAGATATAAAGTGGGTAGTGGAACACCAAGACTCACTCTCCAACTCTCCACTAAGATATATATATCAAGCTACCCTATATGGGTGATCATAGCAGCTTAGTAGCTCGACTTAGATTGAACGCTGCTGTTAAAAAGCCTTTTTATGTAGCTAATGCCATAATAATTGAGAATGTGATGCTTGTATATCTATTTGAGCCCTTAGAAGATGCGAAAAATAATGTCACATTCCACTGTATTTACTAATTTGAATGTACGTGTGGCTATACATATGTAGGGAGGACTCATCGGTCTTTGCAAGTAGGGGCTTCAGAAGCAAATAGGATCTTCGGAACCCATTAATGGTGAGAACAGGAGACCTAGCTCCTCTATTGCGAAACATATTACAGAGACAGGATATAAAATTGATCTTTACCTGTCCTTTAAACCTATCTGTAAAATGTGTTTGGGGCGATTAGGAAGTTTAAAGCACCTTTAATGTGCTCAAAAACAATTCGTCATCAAACTAAACCTTCCTTGGTATCTGACCGACTGACTAGTTACAACGTAGAAATTGGCACACATGTGCACCAGTTCGAGTTGCCATTGTCCCTCCACACAACACACAAAGCAAGAAAGGAGAGTAAAGGGAGGTCCAAAAGAGAGGTAATAAACAGAAATATGAGGCAATAAGAATAGTAATACGGAAGAACAATGGAATTTTATTGGATATTATAAATCATAGAGAGTGAATGTATCTACTCCAATCATATTTAAATAGGTCAAGTAGTCCATGGTAGGCGAAGGTTGAAGTCTATTGTTTTTGTTGTACACATAGTTTAGGATGTATGTGAATAATCCAAAGTGCTTCCATCACCTTCAATAACCATCCTTGAATTAGAGTTATGTAATGAGATAATTGTGAAGCAGTCATTAATAATATTGATTTTGTGACCTGACATTAATAAGTGCTTTGCAATGGATGATGCTGGATTTCTATTCAGATCATTAATTGCATTGGGATTTCCTATATGTTTTAATAACCATTTTGGGACGTTTTCTTTTCTATGACATTGGAACATTCTATTGCTTCTACCTATATAGGTGTCACCGCAATTGTTCACACTCTTCATCCACTTCATCGTCAAGCTTATCAACTGAAGAATCTTCTGATGAGAATTGTTCAAAGGGTAAGTCTCGATAATAAAACCCATTTGAATATTATATTATTATATGATGAGAAATAATTAATGTGTACTACACTGAGAGAAGTTGGAATTCAACAATTGTTAAATTTCAATGACGAACGCTATGGCTTGGCAACTTCAAAGATTCTAGGTTCGATGCCTGGGTTGGCGAGGGGTGGGTAGGGATCATTAATATGCACTGGTGCAGAGTCCCAAATTACGGTGAAACAGCAACTGTGGAGTAGTTTTAGTTTTTTTTTGTGATTCTCTAACTTTGATGTCACGCATCAGTGGTTCAGCGGTAGAACGCCCGCCAACCACGCACGTGTGGTCCGGCGATCCATCCTCGACCGACGACGCACTCTTCAGACCTCGCTAAGCTGGTAGTAAGGCCAGTTAAGAGGGAAGGTTGGCCGTGAGGCTAGCAGCCCCATCCTCACAAAATTTAAAAAAAACCCACTGCTACCGAAACTTCAAAGCTCTAGCTTGAAATGATATGTCCAAGTAGGAACATTATTATTATTGTTTCATTTAATTCCTAGAGGAACATAGGGCTTCAGCCGTGCGTCTCCATTGCACTCGGTTCTCTGCTGGAGTCTTCTCCTGGCTCCAAGTCTGCCCACACGTTTTCATCTCCTCTTCACATGACCTCCTCCAAGTCACCCTTGCACTGACGACCAACTCGCCGCTTCTCTTTCGGGTTCCACTCGAGCAATGGCTTGTCTAGTGATGTCACTTGATGGTTTGTTTCCTGAGAGTATGGCCAATCCATCTCCATTTCTTCCTGCCTATTTGTTTCACAATCGGTTCCTGGTTGGTTCGTTCCCAGAGATCTTTGTTTCTGATCTTTTCTGGCCATCTGATCTTGAGTGGTATTGAGCGAAGACAACTGTTAATGGAGGTCTGTAGTTTGTTTGAGATGCTCTTTATGACGCGCTGGCCAAGTCTCTGATCCGTATAGTAGCACTGACTTCACGTTGGCGTTGAAAATCCACAACTTATTTTTGATGCTGAGTGCTGTTGACCTCCTGCACACAGACTTGAGAGTAGTAAAAGCTTGTCTTGCTTTTCCGATTCTTGCTTTGATATCCTCATCAGTTTGGCCTGTAGCTGAAACGATGCTTCCCGATAGGTGATGGAGTTTGATTCTTTCAGATTTCTCCCATTTATGCTGATCGTTGTCTGTTGTTGTTGCTGTTGGTGGTGTTGGCCAGGAATCTTCATCACCTCTATCTTCTCTATGTTCACCAGAAGTCCTATCTTTGATGCTTCTTCTGCCAACTTGTTACTTTCCACTTGCATATCTTCCAGTTTGTGGGAAATCAGACATATATCATCGGCGAAGTCCAGATCCTCCAAGCTTTTGTGTGAGTCCATTTCATGCATGTTTCCTCATTGCCCACTGTTTGTTGCATTATCCAGTCTACTGCAATCAGGAAAATCATTGGCGATAGTAGGCAGCCAGCCAGCCTTGTCTTACTCCTGTCCTCACTTCGAAGGATTCCGTAAGTTTCCTGTTATGGATTACTTGGCATGCAGCATTGTCGTACAGCTGTTGGATGAGATGTATAATTGTCGGTGGCACCCCGTAGTAGCGAAGTAGTTTCCAAATCACCTCTCGATCGACGCTGTCAAAGGCCTTTTCAAAGTCGATGAAGTTGAAATAGAGAGGTGACTGCCATTCCAGGCTTTGTTCGATGATGACCCGTAATGTGGCGATCTGATCAATACATGACTTGTTTCTCCTGAATCCAGCCTGTTCCGGTCGAATTTTTTCATCCATTCTATGTTCTATTCAGGTGGTCGCTACTGATGCTAATTCCCTGAAGAGTTGTCTTGTAAGGAATGACAATATGCGGAAGAGCTAATGAAGACGCACTCATTGAAGATAGTAATTTTCTATCGTGTAGTTGCACACCTAGAGTAATGCCAGTCATTAGTGCATGTATGTGGGCTGGACTAGGTATCTCAACTGAAGTACCCATACCCTCTTATACTGGTAAAGCCTTTGAAACACGACTGCCATTGTTCATACATGACAGATGGATGTCCACCTGATGTTAACACAAGAGGTTCCACTAACTCAACACTTCTCTCCCTCTCTCTGCAGAATGGAGAGACAGCATAGCTGGCATGCTGGTCATCTGGGGGGGGGGGGACTGGCAACGAGATAGTCACATCATCAGCGTACTCAAGAGAGTTGCTTTCGACTAAAAGAAGCAAGTGGTGTAAGAAGTTATGTGTATATAATTCCTCTGATATTGTGATGGACTTCTAATTCGAAGGCGTCTGCCAGCAAGATTTTCACTCCACTCTAAATCATTGTGAAATTTAAGAATGTTCATGTTTAATAGTCTTTTATGTGTGTATTTGTAATGCGTTTTTACACACGACGATAAGTAATCTTAGAGAGGGATGATTGCGACCCATAATTGCCTCCAGTGTTGGAATTTCCTTATTCACGCATATAAACATCATATACTAATCATCTTTACATAGTCTTTGTTTATTTTGTAGTTAGTCATCTTTTCTATCCGAAATTGTGTTGTGTGATGTTGACAGTTGTGTTATAATGAAATCATCTTCGTTACCGTTTGTGTTTGGAGGGCGCGGGTGGGGGTACAGGTGACGTTTCTCATCAATCACTGCATTTATTTGTTCACATATTTAATTTGATTTCGAAATACATTTGTTGTCCTAATCGATAGTCTTATGTTTTTAATCCGACTCTGTGAAGTAGGTATTGTTGTGTTGTGAACGTATTGGTTTCCTAATCTTTTTCTACTCTTGTCATCTTGGCGGTTAACCTTCAATTAGTCGTCTGTGTTTATTCACTCATTTAGAGTTCCACAGATAGTCGACCAGTAGACGATAACCAAGCATCCATCGTCTATTGTGAATGTTACACCATTCTGATCTGATTTTTGTTTAATTTTCTCCAGTGGATTTAACTGGTTGGTTTGAAAGTAATGCAAACTCCAGACGTTTTAAAGTTCCTTTGAATCACCTCTGATGTATTTTCCTAGTATGGTGATAATACAGTGCCTTCGTAAACACCACAAGTTTCCGGCTTCTTTTATGTTTTTCTTCGGAATAGGGATTTTCTTAATAGCATTTCCAAGAGGTAGTTTATGGTTTTTTTTGATTTGTTTCATCACGGACTGATGTCAATTATAGAACCACTGAGAACTAGGAAGCAACGGACGGCTGTTTTGTTCAACCTCGGGGACTCTTCAATAGTATTCACCCATGGGGGTTCGAGCCTAGGACCTTCTGACTCGTATACGATTCAGACAGTGGGACCTGACACAATGGCCCATGATTTATACCAATTGGGGATCCTCACTCCTGACTGGATGGACCTCACTGGTCACGACCTCTCACTAGAACTCCGGGGTCATTGAATTGGGTCCTAATGGCTGAATCGTATATGAGCTTGCCTTGTGACCAGGAGGTCCTAGGTTTGAAACTCAGTGGGTGGGTACTGATGAAGAGTTCCAAACTAGGATGAAACAGCTGTCCAGTACTCCTTGAATGGTTTTCAATAGTTCTCCAAATGATATCAATCTGTGGTCTAACCTGGGATAAAAACACGCAATAAACAGGATGTTTTTCCCTGACTTGACTTGAAAAAATTTCTCACATTTATATTAAGGAGTATCAGTTTTTAAGTCAAACACCAGTTCCAGTGAATGAAGATGGTTTCTTTTCGTTACCCATTTATTTGTCTTATCCCGTTTTTCAAGTGCGCCAGTGGTTCAGCGGTAGTGTGCTGGTCGACCATGCACTTGGTCTGGGGTTCGAGTTCCGACTGGAGCACACCTTTACTTTCGTCAACCGGTTATAATCCTGACAAAGAGGGGGAGTTTGGGTGTGAGGCCAACAACCCCACCCCGTAAAAAAACACCAATGCTACTGAAACTTCAAAGCTCCAGCTTGAAGCCCAGTGTTCCACTGGGAACGCCAAGGAATAGAAAAGAAATCCTGTTTTTCAGTCGTACCCGAAAGCCTTCGATTGAATTAGTATGGGTTCCAGTAAGGAGATCAATTACCATTTACCAGAAAAGTGCGGATAATAAAAAATACCTTTGTCCCAACGCCTTATTGTAACCCTAACGAGCTGTCAACACATTACATTATCCAGAGAGAGATTTGAATGAAATCTGCGCCTTAATTCGTGAATAGCGTTCATACTGCCGCAATAATTATTGTAGGTCTGGTTATCCAGTGAAGGGTATTCATTCAAGGTCATTGGTATGTTCACACTCCTGGATCGGTATAGTTTAACTTGCCCCCCATCCCCGGGATTCATTTCTTGGGATTGGAATTCATTGTGGATCACTTGTAGTTGAGTTTCTACATCATCTATCCTGTCGACATCCACCTCATTGTAGTTGGTTTTCTTACAGTATCTACAGTAAAGTTATATGATCCATAACTGGCATATAAAGAACAACATTTCGACTTATTCATTTGTTGAAGAGTTTGAGTATATTTGTAAAGAAAAAATATGAGTAAGTGTCGGATCGATTGCAATGAAACAGAAGTGTGGTATTGTTATTATCATTGTAGATTTACTGATGATGTTGACATTTGTTGATGTAGCGGTCAGATTCACATATCCCGAAAAATGACTCTTCCTGCATGCCATAAAGGTCACTTGGATAGCGGTTAGACTAAAAGCAGTTGCCATTATAGTGTAAATCACTCACGCTGTCGTTCTGTTGATCGATAGGAGTGTGGAGCTCTAAAGTGTTTCCTTCTAATGATTAACAAGCCAGTTTTGATGTCTTCCTATTCTGGAGTGGGGAGATTATAAGAGGTCGGACCCGGAAATTGGACATCTCGACCCACTCTACGGCGGTAAGATTTTCTTCCCGAAGCAACTTCAAAGATCAGCTCAAGTAGGCCGTGTGTGTGTGGGGAGTGGGCCTCAAGCGGTTGTCTCTTGGCCTCTATGATCATGCAACACTAATGGTGCTTCTATTTTAGGGGTTTTAAAG